AATTTTTGCAGATTTATTTCACATGTTTTTCTGATCATTAACTGACTTCTAAATGTTATTGCTTTGCAATTGGACGTGTGCTGCCTTCAAGACATGTCAGAATAATCTTATTTTATGAGATTAGTGTGCATGAACAGCACTACAATGTTGGGCACTTTTCTCCTAGCCCCCTACTTTCTGAGATAGTAGCATTTCAGTGTGAATCATGATAGAAGCAACTTGGTATTGGTATAAGAAAGTTTTAATTGTGAATTTTGATGGTTCAGTTTAGTTTGTATGCATTTTGTTTACAGCTGATGACTAGCTATAGAGCTTGCCAGAAAATGCTGCTTATTTAGCTGGTCTGCTGACTTGTGTGACTAAATTGTGACACGAGAGTAATAAAAGAATCAAAAAAGAATCACACACCTAATGTGCTTTTCATTTTTGTTGTGTTAGAGCTAAAAATCGTCTTTCTTCTGTGTAAGTAAAAAAAAAAAAACTGCTCACATCCATTTGTTTCCAATAATAATTGCTTTAAACATCGTTTACATCATAGTTACGGAAACTCTGAACTAGAAGTAGGAGCTTTCCAACTTCCTTATTTGGATGTTTTAGACTCTGAAAGGGAAAAATGGTTTTTACATTTTATATTTGTGCATTTAGCAGATATTATCCAAAGCAACTTAAAAAAAAAGAGGAACAAAAGCAATTTGTCAAAACACATTTTTTACTGCTAATTGTAGAAAATATGTAAATATATTGGAGCAATTTGTAATTTATATAAAATTTATATTTTATATCTAATACAATATATTTTATCTGCATTCAGTTCAGGTTATTTTTATTATAGAAAAAAATGTCACTCGTGTTTTTTCTGCATTACAAACTGGTTTTCATGGGAATGTGCATTTATTTAGCAAATATTCTGAATTATGGGATTTTGTATATCTTAAAGTGCATATTCCAGGTTAGAGACGCCAGTGAGTCGATGTATAGAAAAATAATGTAGGAACTAGATTTTCTTTAAACTATACTTTAAAATACGCTATTAACGCTTCTGGAGTCGTTTTTGTGAGAGAATTTTACGCATCTGAAAATCGCCAAAACCGGAAGTGACGCAACGAGAGGGAGAGCGGTCCATAGGAAAACAATGGATTGCAATGAGAGTTCGGACGCTGAGGAAATTTTAAATGTTTATTTACACTTATGACGGACCACAATTATGAGCCTGCTATGTGGCCAAGAGAGCAGGGACAGGCCAGGATTAGACAGAACAACGGTCAGAGGAGACAAATTGAGTTGTGGGAGGAGAACAAGGCAGGTGTCTTGGTGAGAGACCAGTGTTAGCTTACAGATATACACATGTTAGCTAATGATATGTAATCAGGCAATAGCAAAGCTAGTATTGGTCGTCTATGAGTACTGATACTTACCAGTAACAGAAACTAATAAGCATTGATCGGGCGTGTCACACTCGTTAATATCCTGACACTAACTTTACGTGATATAGCGGTTTCTCATCACCGCAGGAGAGAGTCTGAACCCATATGCGTCTGACTCTGCACCCAGGCTTTGAGGCTTGCTGTCTGAACCCATATGTGCTACAGACAGCCTATATGCACTTCAGACAAGAGCATGGACCTCTCCAGGCCAGCAGACACATGTATGTTTAGGGCATAGATAATTTATTATTCTGAGCTAAATACTTGTATGTATAAATACATAGTAAATTAAAGATTTGAATATTAAAAAGATCTGAATAATTTTGTTTTTTTTTTTCAATTACAAGTTGCCTATATTTAGGTCACAACTACCTGTAAGTCACACTTTTTGATGCCATTGGTATAAGACAATTTTGACAGCATACAGGCAAGTTGTCCGCTGGGTCTATGGCATTCTGAGCAGGCACATCAGGACGGCCTTACCTGCATGTGTTGTTTCAGCCATTAGAAGACAGTTTCCAGAGGAAGGAGGACTTTATAAAGGTTTTGAATGGCCCCATTTTGGTGACAATCAATAAAAAATAATCACAATCACAAATTGTCTTACTGCATAAAAACTTGTTTATGAAGTTTACATCAGATAAATATGAAGCAGATCTACGTTTATGGTTAATTCAGTTTTATTTATACAGCACTAAATCTACAAATATTATTTCCTAGCACTGTTAATACCTAACTCAAAACACAACATTGCAACTGTTAATATATATATATGTAGATGTACCAAACATATACTACTCTACTGAAAGACAAATATACCATCTGACCCATTTAAAAACATTTAACAATCTTTCAGTAACTTGCCCAACATCTGTGCGGGTATCACACTAGCATGTTGTTAACGTGTTAAATCGTGAATGCTGTGCTAGATACATGCCAACAGACTCATTCTTGTTAATCCTCTGGAAGGATCTGGAAAGGGGAGCAGGTGTAGTGGAAGACAGACAGTGCTGCGTTCTTGTAGAGCCTGTGGTGACCTGCAGTATTCCTCTCTCAGAGACTCCATTAGGCCTGATGCATATGATGGAAGAAGCAAGCAAAAGTTTGGATCACATTCATGCTTTTCCACTTGGCCTCCATCACATCTGCATCTCCATTAGGAGCGGAAGCTGCAGTCCAGTAGAGGTGGTTAATAACAAATGGCCTTCACTGCTTCAGATCTTCACACTCCCTCATTACTTGCAATGTCTCCCAAAGCCTTATAAACACACCACATGACAAAAAAATTACCAATTAGCTGTGCAAACAATGTCACTAAGCTGTAACTAGACTTGATGGTTATAATATTAGCAAACTGTGGTTAACCTACCAACTATGCCTTCTCATATGTAATGTTTTTACACGGTATATAACATTAT